GCTCATGAAAACCACGAAGGATCCAGGCAGTTTCATGCCAAATCTGAGGGGCTCATGGCAAAGAACTGTTTGATTGAACACATTGCTGATCAGATGTATCAGCAGGTACAGAAAGTGCAGTTCGGGCTGTATCCCAGAGAGGGAGAGAGAGAGGGAGGGAGAGCAGAACAACTTGAAGAGGAGAGAGCAATTATGGGGTACAACTTCCAGATTTCACATGGAAGATCTATGAATGATGAGATTGCTGCAGTCAGATTGATGCTGCTCCCTTCGCTGCCCTGGCACCGCTGCCCGCGAGGATGAAGGGTTGTGCTGCGAGCCTGGCGGGGGCGCCCGGGCAGCAGCAGCCTTCCATTGGCCAGCACCATTAAACATGGTTCACCGGTTCCAGGTACAGCCTATAAGCGTTCAAACAGGTAGAAGTATAAAAATGCAAAAATGGAATTGGACAATGCAAATTCGCCAGTTGTACTGTTTAAACACAAACTTTTGACTTTGGTATTTTTCAAAGTATAACCACCAAAAAAAGCAAAACTGCAAGCAATATTTACATAAATGGCCACTTGATACGCGTTGGTATGGGTGGGATGGGGGGCTGGCCCCCTTGTCTTTTGGGGCAGCCTCTTGCGGTTGTTGGGTAGCCTGACCACGTTTCGCTGGTTGCAAAAAAGATTTGCCGGTGGGAATTGCCAGTTCGCAGTTCCAGGCTGAACATTTGCTTTCTTAAAATGCGAAAAAGCGATCCTTTTTTCGTATTTTCCAAAAACACAAGAAATGCAACTTTTTGGTATTTTTCAACAATACAAAAATTCAACCCGGAATTGTACATTTTCAAAAATACAGAAATACAAAAAGACAAAACACAAAAAATACAAACATACACAAATACAAAAAATACCAAAACACAAAAAATACAAAAATACGAAACGTACGAAAATTACGACCCGCGAAACAAATAAAAATATGACCCGCAAAAACACAAAACAGTGTAAAAGTTGCCGAAACGGGTTGCGAAACCGAATTTTGCGATTTTTCGTTTTGCTGACGCGTCGGCGAGGGTGTTTGCTGATTTTGCGGCCCGACTGCCGGTGCTCTTTTTTTTATGCAAAAAGACGGCAAATTCGCAAAAATGCTTCTTGGCAACACATCGAGAGGACAACGTGACTCAAAATTCAATTGGCTTGGTGGGTGCTATTTGCATTGTGGCCTTCATTTGAGTATGTTGTTTGGGAACCAGGGCCAGTTAGGACGTAGAACCATGCAACATGGTTGTATTTCAGGGCTGTATTTAATTGAAATACTGCTTTTTTTGTATTTTTAATTTTTTGTGTTTCTTGACCTCTGCCTGAAAGTCGGGGGTCCAACATTGAAACCATTCCTGTGGTATTCCAAGATCAAGAACCACTAAGTAAGCGTTTTTCAGCTACCTCCATGTCGCAATCTGGATGTTGCATATGGTGATTTAATCTCTATCGGCAAACCACGCGTTCTTTAATTGCAAAAGTGTCAACCACTTTGCCAAACCAACACGCTAGATAAGTAAGCCGTATAGAGGCGAGTAATGGTGAGATGATTGTCAACAGAAAAGCTTCTTGTGCGCTAACCGTACCTCAGTAGTGAACAAAAACTTGATTGGACTGGCCGTTTGGATATTCAATATGGTTGAATGATGCTTCATAAGCTGGCCAGGGTTTGCTACATGAAGGTTGAAAACCTCCGTGCTTTGTTGGTCTGCCATGCGGACAAAGCCATACGCAAGTCCGAGGCACGCAGAGCAGCTTCCTGGGAGAGTGGTCGAATCTGAAGGGGCAACAACTAACAACACTCATGGTCTACTAAAAGTAGTTGGTGATGGGAAATAGTTGGAAAATAATGGCGCTGAAAAATGGCTGATGCTGTTTCCAGGGCG